AAATGCAAGGTATGGAGATGACGCGAAGACTGCACTGGCTGTCAGTTGCCCACCAGGTACAATTTAAAGTATTGATCTTTTGTGGCTTAGGGCCTGACTGAGGGACCACCTCTCTCACTAGGAGCCTGTTCACTTTCAGATCGGCAGGAAGGGCCCTTTTGAAGAAGGCTATCTTCTTATCGATATTATCATTGGCAGGAGATGGCCTTCTTCTGTATGGCCCACTGCCTATGGCCGTGCTTCTCAACCTTGGCAGCTTTAAGATGTATGGACTTCACCCCCCAGAATTCTGGAAGCCACCAAGGTTGGGGAACACTGGCACATGGAATGCTCTCCCCAGAGGGACTCTTTGGCCCCCACACTCTCCCAGGATTTAGGAACAAAATGCATCCTTTTGTCAAGCTATTAAATGTTAAGCTAATTTCCTTGATACTTCTGTATTTCATATTTTATTGTTGCACACTGCCTTAAATGCTTATGTAAAGCAGAAATGCAGGGTATGATTTAATAAATGATGATGATGTGGGGTAGGTTGGAAGTTCACTTGTGGGAGACTTTCAAATACTACCAAGCATAAGATACAATTACGATAATACATGCCCATTTTCCTTTCTCCATTTGGCATATGGAAAATTATTTAGGCCTGCAGATAGCTGCATATACCTGGAGTTGGATGATCATATGAGACAGCATCACGCTATCTACTTGCCAAGAAAACATGGAAGGGCCAGCATTTCACAGCATAGGAAATGATTTCCAAAAACTAATTCAACCTAGCCAGGAGAAGACACAAAAACACATCACTTTTTTTCCTTTTGAAATTTAATATGTAAACAGAAATGTAACAAAGGAGGAGCTGTTTCAATTAGTAGCTATAGGATCATAATAGATATAATCAAGAGAAAAATATACAACGGTGTCAGAGTTCTCAAAGAGGGTACACTGCAATGCAAAGAATTTCTAAAAAAAAAAGTGCAGTTTTTTAAAAAGGGGGCCAAAATGGCAACATAAGGAACACAAGATCCAATGAACTATTCGAGAGGTAGAAAAAAGTTAAGAAGAGACAGAAGGAATGATTTTGGTGTAATTGTTCAACTCAGTTACTTATTCAACAGTAATTCTAATACAACCGTATCTTCAAAAGACCCACTCAATTCAATTTGGCTTAATTCTGAATAAGTGTGAATAGGACTGAGCTGACGGCATCTAATTCAGGAGTTCGGGGGAAGAGTATTCAATTCTCCAGATGTTGTTAGACCGCAATTCCAAACTGACCATTGTTCTTGTTGGATGGTTTGGTGGAAGTTGAAGAAGCACAAACGTGGTACAGATCCTGATGTTCATGGGTACAAGCATCTTCAGTTTGAATCAAGTGGCTTTAAGAATGGAGGTTGCTGGTAAAAGTATGCCAACTGCAATGTCTTCTCTAGCTCACTTCCTGCCTCCCCCTTCTATTCTCCTCCTCCTTTATTAACACTATCCGCCTTTTTGCCACTATCCCTATGACCATGTTTAAAGCAGTTTTGAAAGCAATGCCATAGCTAATGGACCTCCAGAAGCATCCGACTGACCACATTCATTTATTTATGGGCTTATTTATTTTCTTCATTTATATACCATCTAATCTACACAGACTCACTTTGGAAAAGAGGAAGCAGGACTAAGATCCCTTCCAAGGCTGCGCCAGTCTGAGATTAGTGGCATTTCCACATCCCACGTCTCAAGCATGAACTTTGGGAAGCTGAGCTATTGGTTCAGATCCTGCCCCAGGGAAATTTGATGAAGGCAGTTTTGTAGTGTTTCCTCTGGAGCTGTTGTGTGGGTAGTTTCTCATCAGCAAGAAAAAGCACCTCGTCCTGCCTACCTACTCTTCAGAATTTCTCCCTCCTTTTCGAAGCTGAGGTGCCCCGATCACTTGTCCTCCCCCTTCCCAGTTGCATACAAAGGAAAGCTTTGCTGCTTCCTTGCAGGGTCTAGTTGGAGGTTTAAAACATTTTTTTTCCCTTGCTACAAAAAGTTGACACCATGAAGGGACAAGGAAAGCAAGGCACTGACTAGCTGCTTTTTTATGCCTTCTCCCACTGACTAGGTGGGGGGAGTCACTACCCAGACCCACAGGAGGACTGAGCACAACAGAGCTCTTCTGGAGCAGCATGAAACTGCAACTGAGGATATACGTGGCGAAGTTAGTGGCTATGTAGAAGTACTCCAGAATTCTTTGCTCTACAGAATTCTTTCTTGAATTAGTGTATCTCGTCTTGTTTTATGGAACTAATGTTTGGGCTGTTGCTGTTTTTACCACTTTTAAGGTGGTGGCATGATCCACACATCTCTGCTTCTGCAGAGTATCTGGAGCTCCCCAGCTCCTTGTCTCCTGCAGCAGCCCTTGTGACCGCCACTGCCAGTTTGTAACGCACCTGGGAACATGGGCATTTGCAGAAGTGCAGAAGAAGGCACCTTGGAAGGCGAACAGGCAACTGCAAATCATCTCCACTCCAAAGCTCAGTGCCCTGAAAAACTCATCACGGATCTGAATCTTTTCCAGAATACCTGAACTAACACAGAATCAACGATAGGGTGAGAGTTGGGAGCCGAGATCAAGTATTGGCAGTGACAGTTCAAATTAGGTTCTTCAGTGATTAGTAGTAACTGCACAATAAACTTGAAACATTCCTATATTGAGTGAATCACTCTTGTTTAAAAATAAATATGCAATTATAATAAAACGTAATTCAAAGTAGGAAAACTTGGATACTTTCTCTTTTGGCTATCTACACAGAATGCATTTTGCCTAGCATCAAGGGGAAAGAAACACTTATAAAGAAGAGGACACGCTGCCAAGCCAAGCCTTCAAGACATAGGATCTTTTAAAAATAAGACATAAATCATCATTTGCAAGTACATGGTGCTAATTGAAGTAATCACACTTTTGAGAAAACTTGTCTAACACAGACAGTAAATGGACACTCAACTATTTACCTTTTAAATAATGGTTCTGGTTTTAAAAACACACCAGATTATTCAAGGGGAAGATAACAGCAAGATTGGGGGAGGGGGGGAATTAAAGGAGGAAGAGGAGGAGGAACACAAGGAAATGACATTTCCAAGGTGGGATTCTATTTCACAGTATATACAGTTTTAAATATATATATAAGCAAAAATTTTAGAAATGTTAATACTGTTCACCAGCGACATATATAAATGCACACAGAAAGGGAAGTGCCCAAATAAATAGTCACTAAAATACTAACAAAGTAGACTGTTCTGTGGATCTCTTTGATCATGTATATTATACGTGTTTTTATGACTAATGTTATAGAAACATACAAAAAAAAATCTAGCCCTTGTAATTAATGAGACAGATAATGCTGAAAGCAAGACTTAAAAATCCAGACAAATGTTACATTTGAGTTGTTTAAGGACATACAGATGGAAGGATCAAAACTGAGGGAATGCGAAGGGCTTAAGCATAGAAGAATACAAATGAAATGAATGAAAGAGTAAAACAGGATTGGTGCAGGGCCATTTTGCTGCCTGACACAAAAGCCAAATGCTTCTATCCTGCTAGACCCATCTTGAAAAACACGGATGCTCCATTTAGGCACCAACCGTTTCCTTCCTCTAGTCTACTTCAGAGGGCCACCTTAGTAGATCACTTTAAATCTACTCTGCAGTGGGGCTGATCACAGAGTAAAGCCCAGCTAATCACACTCATAGTGTAGAAACTGAGGCTGGGCTGTAGGAATTTTTTCTCACTTCTTTGTTGTAATAACAACAGGAAGCGAAAACAGGATAAATCTCAGAAATTTTGTTTTGTTTTTTTGGACCATGCTTTCCTTGCAAAGCAGATGGGGAAGAAAATATGGATCAGAATAATGGTCCCCAATCTTTGGGTGATAATGAGGAGATCTAGAATATATTGTGGCTACATCGTAAAATGATTGCTATGCGAAGGTGGGCTTCCACATTGACAAAATAGATGTCCTGCTAGTCTTGCCCAATAACAAAGCATTTAATTACACACACACATACCGTCCCCAGCATTACCCCTTTCTCATGTGTGTGTTTAGTGGCATATGGGAATACTTCCAAAAAAGGAAAAAATATCGAGCTGTAGCCAATACGTAAATATAAAGCTGCCTTGATGAATTGCTGGCCCCACAATACTCAAGTGGATTTAAACTTCCCTGAACAGTGCTTGTAGGACACTAAAGTGATATGCCCACACACTAGATTACCAGCAGATGGAGTTATTGCTTTACAAATCTCTGTTGAAGTAAACACTCTGGTTACAAGAAAGGAAAATCTAACAAGGTCCCTAAAACATCAGAGAGATGGCAGGGTATGTAGTGAGCCAGTCACCCATGTAGAGTCTATTTTTCCAGCGGAAAAGAGAAATCTTTCCATGCTGAAGCTGAATGTGGGGGAGATTCAGAACCAATACAAAGAAACACAAAGCCTAGTTAAATTACAGAATGTGCAGCCATCAGATGTGGTGCGGCCACAATTTAATGGTTTTAAAAGAGGACAAGACAAATTCATGCTTCCTCCAGAATAAAAAGGCAGTCTACCCTAGAGATCAGTTGCTAGAGAACGCTGGAAGAGGGTGATCACTTTTGTATCTCCACAGGAGCATGTGGCTGGCCACTGTGTGACACCAAATCCTGGACTAGAATCAGTGTTTCTCAACCTTGGCAACTTGAAGACATGTGGACTTCAACTCCCAGAATTCCCCCCCCAGCATGGCTGGGTGGGGAGGTCTTGGAGGTGGGGGTCACGGTTTTATAGTAGGCAAGGCT